GCAAATTTGCATATTCACTTTAGAATCCGATCCGCATATTTGTTTGCACACGTGCGAAAAAAATTACCGATTTTTATCTTTTATCTTAATTTTAGCCTAAAAGCTTAATATTCTTCTATCGCTTTTTTCGTTGAAAGTAAGTTATTTAAATGATCTTCTTTCACTGGAGCTTGTTTATGGGAAATGATGATTTATAAAAATGTACTGTGCATTGTGTTTGCTTTTCCGGTTTCTCCAAAATTTTAACTTTTGGATGAGCACGCGTTACACGCAGGTGCTAATGGGTTAAGGTACACTTTCAACACCAAATTAAGGTGGTACTGGACTCTAAATTGAGTGAATTTTGTCTCAAATCATTAATGAAATATTTACTGACGGATTTGTTAGAATGACTTGAAATTATCTCAAGGGATATATGATTTTATACATAATCTGAAGAGAAAAATTGTATTTTGCTCAGTGCCATGGAATTGGTGGAATTTAATGGCATTAGGGGGTGTGTTTGAAAAGCCATTATGGAGAAAAAACGTCTCTAAATCCAAGCCATTTTTAATTAATTATTCTCAAAATGGTTTGGCACAGATAAAGAGCTGATGGTAATAAAGATTTTCAGTGTAGTCTGCTAAGTAATATTCAATTTTGACAATTTAATTATCCCATACCTTGTCATTTGGAAAAGTTTTGGCAGACAGAGGCATACTGTGCTGTAAATGTTCCTCATCATACAAAGTTTTAGTTTGCAGAGATTCTGATCAAAGTATTAACCTTCTTGAGATAATACAGTTGCAGTGGCAATTAAATTGCAAAAAGTGGCAATAGGAACCACAAAAATATGAAAAGGTGTGGGAATTTGATAATAGCAACTTTCAATTTAACATGGTGTGACAAAATTCAATGTGTGGTTATTGGCTTGCTTAATGGTTGTGATGCCTTCCAAAAATTGGAGATATCACGAAAAATTCTTAGAATAAAAAGGCTAACGAAAGTATGTTTATTTTTGTTGCTTGGAAAGTATAAATAGTTTGCTACTGTAGATCTCTTTTCTGAGTTCCATCCATGGTAAGATAGCACTTTGTTTTTTATTATGAAATGGTTACTTATGAAATAGATGTGTCAGAAATGTCATCTAAAGGAAATACAGTGTGAACAGCAAACACCATTAGACCAGGATCTTATCTCTATTTGCTGCAAGATTTTTCCTTGGAAACATAACTTCTCATTTCGAAAATGGGCCATTTCCAATTGTCAAATTTTTCAAATAGGCAATTCCCAGGTAAAAATATAAGGTGGGATCCTGCCAATCCCACCTGGGATAATGGAACATCCCGCATGGGATCCCACCTGGGATTATGGAACATCCCACATGGGATCCCACCTGGGATTATGGAACATCCCGCATGGGATCCCACCTGGGATTACGGAACATCCCACATGGGATCCCACCCGGGATTACGGAACATCCCGCATGGGATCCCAGATGGGATCCCGCCAATTGAAGTTGGGATCCCGCCTTAAATTCCTAATAGCATCCCACCTGGGAAAGCACATCCCGGGCAGGATTAAGCCTAGAATCCCACCAATCCCTCTTGAGATCCTGCCTCAAATTTCAGATAGTTTCCCACCTTGGAAATCATATCCCAGGCAGGATTGCATCTGGGATCCAGCCAATCCCAGTTTAGACCCTGCATAAAATTACAGATGGTTTCCCACTTTCAGAAAAATCCTCTGAGGGATCCTGTTTATCACTGGAGACCACAGATTTATGAAATGTACCAGAAAGGAAATCTTATCAATTCCTTTTGTAACCTAATTCGTAAAATTAAGAGGATAAAATTTTCTAGGTGAGCTATAGACCCCATCAATCCACTGAAGGTCCAAAACTTTCCAACTAGCTATAGAAGATTTTAGATATATGAAAATTCACATATTTGCACTGCGGTGGATAGATGAAATTAGGAGATCCTCGCAGCTAAGAACACTACTGAAACGAGTAGTTGAACATAGCTATAGAACATACTGACACCTCCAATGGGATCCCATTGTCTTACCAAGCTGTTGATCATAAATGATTCAAACAGTAAATGAATACACAGACTATATGTGATAAAGATCTCATAATTTATTTGCAATGAACCAGCATGTGTTTGACTTGTTTCATTAACAAATTTCTTAACCAAACATTTTTAAAGAATAACAGCACAACTCAGCATATTACTTTTTCTTCATCATTTAAGCAGACCATCTACAGTGTAATAAGGCTCAACGTTTAAAAAAATTGGCTGTTGTGTATCAAAGAATAGACAATAATTCATGTTATCAAAATTTTGACAAAGGTACTGATTGAAAGTCTGCTCTCTCTTCAGTCGAATTTTTCAAAGCAAAGCAAGGTCAGAATGTTCCCAAATGTGCCTAAAGTAATCTTGAAACCTTACTCATAGATTTATTTCATTGTAAAGTGTAAGCTTAGGAAACTGCAGCATGCAAGTGACCAATTCGATTCTCAGAATTATTTGAGTTTCAGTTGCGCTGAGCGTTAGGTAAGCTTAATTTAAGCCGTTATTTCTATTCCTTGATAAGATTTTGATCGCGTAAATCCTAGCTTTAAATGGCCACTCGATCGTTGTTTGAACCAGTCGATATGTCAACTGTTAATTGTCCCTTCTTTTAATTCCACGGCGCCAACGACTTTCTTTTCATTTAAAACACTCACGCTGTTCTCGTTTTCCCATTGAACCACAATAAAACCCATCTTTAGAAGTGTTAGTTTAAGCAAAACAGTTGAGAAAAGAAACAACTTGAAGCAAGAGCGGTTAACCGATGAAAAGTACATTCAAAGATGAGCGCCAAATGGAGTTTTCTTTGTTTCCGATCACGGGCATGATCACGTGGACCTTTTAGCAAAGAGAATCCGCTGGCTTGACCCATTGCAGTCTCAAGAGAAGCGCGCAACATTATTCTGTCTCTTCTGACTGGTTCTCCTCTCTTGGATGGAGGATACCTTGGATTCATGTTTTGATGATGACATAAATAATGATGTGAATTCACTCTATGTAAAAATAATCGGCAAGAATCGAACAAGAATGCACGATTTGTGGCCGAAAGTTTTCGAGGAAAGAAAGACTCGAAACCCACTTGAGTTATGTTCACGGCGAAGGTGAGAAACAACACAAGCCAATCACAATAGGAAGTATAAGAGATACCTAGATGATCCCAGTACACCAGTACCCAAATCAACAAGGCTTGACTACAACAAGCGTTCAGCAACACGTTCCAACACAGCTAGCCATCTCGATTCCTCAGTCGGTCTTTCCACTGAACTAGCAGTGGTGCCAACAGAGTCAAGTGCGTCTCATAACGGAGAAAACATTTGCACGAGAGACAGAAGCAACTACATGCGATTACAGAGGTGCATTGGAATTCTCGTCTGGAAATGGTTATGCACAGTCCAAAGCGTTCCCAAGCTTGGAAAGGGGTGGAGAGGACGAAGATACAAGGTTGTCATTTTATTTACTACAAGTAAAATTTTAGACCAGACCTACAAGGTATAGAAAAATTTTGTTGATCGCTGACTCAGAGAAGAACAACAAGTAAACTTTAGAGCTGTTATTATTGAACTGTGACTTGTACTTTTCATTTGTATGTAAAGAAGGAATTGTATTTTGCACCAAAAATATAAAGAAGTAATTTTTTTTAGGAGGTCCAGTGATTGGGACATTTAAGAAATTAAGTCATAAAAAGAAACTCGGTTTGTACTTCTCACTACTAACAAGTCTTGTTTTAAGGATATTTTCAGATCAGAGTTTCAAATAAAGCAAATTGAAGAAGTCATTTAAAAGGTGTATTTTCTCGAAGGGAACAGTGACCACCTCTGTCTTGTCTGCATGCCAAATATTTGCAGAGTGTGTGGATGATCCATAAGTATTGGAACTCTCACAAAAATGTTTTGTAAGAACAAAAACAGCAAAACAATATTTTCGTGGGTGGGATAAAGAATCCCAGGTGGGATATGTAAATCCTGACCAGGATCCCGGGTAGAATGCATAAGTCCCACCTAAGATCCCAGGTGGGATGCAGGAATCCCGCATTAAATGCGGGATCCCAGGTGGGGTCAAATTTTCATCCCAGGTGGGAAAGGTGGGATCCCACCACCTAAGGCGGGATCCCGCCATTCCCACCTGGGATCCTGGGTGGGATTGCCGGGATCCCGCCTATATCCCACCTGACATTTTACCTGGGTTTAAACAGTGATCTTAAATATATGAGGAAATGAAAGCTTCCCAAAAAGGTCAAATTAACCTCCAAGTGGTGGTCTCAACAACACTCTAAGTGGAAATAGAAAGCCTAATTGGACTCAGTGAACTCACATTCTGTATTGTTTTTTCCCTGGGTGATTTTTAAAAATTAAAGCCTCCTGTGATGTCAATGCTACAAAAGGTAGGAAGAGAAATCTAAATCTATTAGAAATACCAAGCTTTGATTTTGACAAAGACATTCATCAGCCCCCTTGTTTTTTTATTTTTTCCTAAATTTCCTCAGTGAGACTACATGTATACCAATTTCAAAGTGAGTTGAAAAGGAAGACCCTTTAAGGATAACTTTTACTTACAAATTTAATTCCTTTGTACAGCTGTAACTGTAATGGTTGTTATCAGTGACAGTGACAGTGTAGTCATCTCTAAAGCAACTTAATATTTTCCTGGTCCAAATTTGTCTCAATCTACATGTACCTGACTTTTTGGAAAAGGATAAAACTTAACTGCAAGTTTACAAAAGAGTTGACATTACATATCAAGTGGACATGCCTTATTATGATTCATTATTGTTTTACAGCTTATTTTCAATACCATTCTTGTTTTGTTGTTGTAGTGAAAAGCCTTGAGATGGAAAGAGGATCCTTGAATGCACTCGACGCGAATTCTGTGAAAGATAAAGGGAAAACTAAAGACCTCGAGGGCGGAGCATCTTGTAGCGCAGAAGTAATCGTGGATCAGTGTATTGATGTTATGTTTATCTGTGGCGAGTGGGGCTCTTCGAAAGGTGGATTATCAACGTTTAACAGGGAGCTTGCTTTGAATCTAGCAAAGTATTCAAAAGAAAGAATCAGGGTTCACTGCTTTGTTTGCCAAAGTACAGAAGAAGAACGACAAGATGCAAGCAGCAATGGAATCCACTTAATCAAAGCACAGCGCCCTCCTGGATCTAGTGATCCGCTTGAATGGATTCGATTTCCACCATCAGAGCTTCCCAATCCTGACATCATCGTTGGCCACGGTAGAAAGTTTGGTGGTGCGGCCTATTCCATTCGACAAATAACAGGCTGTAAGTGGATACACTTTGTACATGTGTTTTGTGAGGATCTTGGAAAATACAAGCTGGAATGCAGCATTACAGCTGATGCAATTGCAGATAACGAAGAGAAGAACAGACGAGAACTGGAGCTGTGCAAAGCATCTGACTCAGTTGTCGCAGTAGGCTCCCTACTACAAAGAAAATATCAAAGAAGTCTGCCAGATTTTGAAATAGAAGTCATTACTCCGGGGATTTTCCAAAAGTATGTCAATCTAACAGCAAGGAAATCAAGTAAATTTGAATCATCAGGAGAAGATGAGTTTCACATCTTCATGTTTGGTCGTGGAAGCTTTGAGGACTTTGAACTGAAAGGATATGATATAATTGGTAAGGCTGTGGCTTCACTAGAAAGAAAATTTGAGCTCACTTTTGTTGGTGCACCACAAGATCAACAACGGAAGATCGAAAAATGGTTCCTGGAGGAAACAAAAATAACACGGAGTCAACTAACCATCAGAGGCTTTTGTAATTACGAAGAAATGAGAGAGATGTTTCGTCAAGCGGATGTAGTTGTGATGCCATCCCGCACCGAGGGCTTCGGGCTGGTGGCCCTAGAGGCCATATCAGCTGGTGTGCCTGTACTGGTCTCCAGGGAATGTGGTATAGCCAAAGCCCTTCAAACTGTGGATGGTGGGATGGCTGTGGTCATCCCCTCAGCTTCACCAGAGGAATGGGCAAAAAAAATCCAAGAGCTATCACAGCAAACACCAGATGAGAGGTATGCCTCTGCCCTGCATCTGAGAGGGAATTATGGGAAGAGGTACCACTGGAAGGAGGAATGTGAAAAGTTTATGAAGATGATTCTGCAGTTGGCTCCCAGTCCCACTCCTAAGGAGACTGTATTCACAGGTTTGCTTTAGTAACTATAACCAAAATTTCTAAGTCAATTTTAATTTCAAAGAATATTTGCACTGTGAGAATTATAGCTACTGACTTCCACAAGAAAGATTTATTCCCTTGTAAAGGAAACAATTGTTTTACTTTCCTGTGCCTAGCTATTAGATGATCAGGAACTGTCTCTAATTCTTGTTTTTGGTGACTGAAGGTTGCTATTTATTGATGCCCTTTCAATTATTTTTGAAAAAATAATCAAGAGAGAGATTACTCATTTAAGATATTTTTTCCCAAGATGACTGACCATATTTCCTTGAATAAGTGCCCATGTTCTAATAAGTGCCCTCCCCCAAATAAGTATGCACCACCTAGACCATAATTTCAAACAAGCAACTCTTCCAATAACTGCTCCCCCCCTCCTTCCTCACTTTGAAAATAGTAGGTGTACAATGACAACCTGTTTCTATTCCCACTTCATTTATAACTTTTTAAACTTCAATCAGTGCAGGAGAATAGTTTCTTTTCCATTCAGTTATTCCTATCTCCATGTGATTGCAGAGTCCCTTAACTTGTTACACCCCAACATCAGCTGACATGTTCTCCATATTGTTCTCAATACATTTCCAAAGGGATGACAAGGAGAATTTGTTTTATAATCTAGAGCTTCAATTGATGGTGATAATTTCATTTGTTCTTGTGACCTTTATGTGATTTTGGGGATGATATGGTAAGGAGAAATTAGATGCTAGTCACTCTCAGGGGTTAAAGCGTTATGTGTCTTATCTGTTGTTTTTAATTCGTCCCATTAAGCACCATCCTTCTGGTAATTTCCCCTTCGAACCCCCATGGGCACTTATTGGAGGAAGTACGGTATCCTAAAATTTAAAATTAATTTCAAGTGGCTTTATTCATTTTCGTTATTTCTAGAAAAGGCTCCATGCAGTTCAAATGATAAAGAACAAACACAAAGGAAGGAGGTTTTCACAGGAACTGGTAAGTTTTGTATAATGTTTGTAAAATCCTTCAACAATAAGCAATATTTGCTGGGATTATGATACAGGTCTAAAGAATTCATATTATTTACAAAAGTTAATACTTTCACAAATTTTTTTACTGCATACACATTATTGTAACAATTTTGTGACATAAGTAGAATTGTGTCTTTTAAAATTTGCAAACCGTTATGTGCCATCAATTCAAAGCTTCAAAATCCTTCTCACAAGTAACATCTTAGGCAACCTCCCAGACGTTTGCCTGTGGGCTGCACAGGAAGGAGCTAGGAGGGAGATGTTGAAGCTTAAAAATGGTTGGCAGATAATAAATAAATATGTTTGCTAGTGATGATACTGGCTTATTTGATAAATATTTATCCTCACTTTCTGCAGGTGATCTTCCACACAGTGGCCTTGAAGTTGGGAAAAGAGATGGAAGGGAACAAAGTGAGTCTGCACCAGGTGGGTGAATGAACATGTAACATTGCAGGTTATATGCCCTAATTTGGTTCTTTTCTGAAAAGTGAGCCTGCATGATATTGTTTGAACTGTACAACAGTTCTCTGACACTCAGAGGGTGCAGTTACAAAATACTACTGTAACATTTAATGCTTAAGTGTTGTTGAAGGATTGTATAAAAGTCTGCTGATATTTTCTATTAATGTTGCACAGCATTTTATGGTGAAAATTCTGAAAGTTCTATGTTTTGACACAAAATCTTCTATTAAACAATACTTTTTTGACATCTCTTTACTCAAACACAATATTTACTGAGCCTTAGAATCTTCAGAATGTCATTAGGCCTTGCTTGAAGTCCTTTGTTTTCAATCTACAGCCTCAATTTGCATCTTAAGGAAATCATAGTGTTGTTGACTCAAAAACTTATTTTACTGCTTTTAAGACCTGGATGTTTATTATTTTCCAGGCAGAATATTTTATAGAAGTTTTACTTTTCATTTTGTGTTCTAAGAGGTCTAACATAATCAGAAAGGTACAGAAAATTAGACTTGAAAATATTGGATCATTTTTTGTCCACCACATGGCACGGGCAGTTATGGGTGGTTCAGGTGTCAATGTTTAAACTGAAAAATTCTTATTCCTATCCTCAGCCTTACGGATATGTAAATGCATTACTTTTGTATTTTGTCCTGTGTATAAGATCCAGACACTTCAGATAAAACAACAGAACAAACAAGAGAAAGAAGGACAGGTGGGCAAGGGGAAGGTACATATATTTAACTCATTTTGTAGAATGCCACAAACACAATGCAAATTTTTTCTTGTTATTGTACCTTTTGTAGACCCAATTAAGTGAGGATGTTTGCATATGCTCTTCATCAATATGAGGATATGATTAAATTATTTTGACCACAGATGGAGACAGTTTTTTCCTTTGGTTTGTGAACAGTAAACAGCTGCCTGCTTTCAGCAGAATTGTATGATATGAAAAGTAGAAGCTGTTTAAAACTAATTAAGAATTATTCTGAGTTAACATACAGCAGTTATCATTCAGTATGTATGATTTGAATAGTTCCTTGAGGCAACATTTTCTTGGAAACCCAACATCAGCTTGTTCAATTTTATTGAACAAATATTCTACCAATCCAACATTTTTTGTAGCAGTGAAATGATCCAAGGAATTATAAATTGTACAAAACAATGAAAACAGTTAAAAAAAAAAAGAAAAATGGCTGCATAGGGCTATTATATAATTATATTATAGAGGTGTATGCGTTGCAATTTATGACTATCTTAATTCAGTTTTCGCTGCAGATCAAGACACCTCAAATAAAACAAGAGAAAAAACAAAGGGAGACAAGAAAAAAGTTCAAGCAGCAGGTATGTATATTAATTGCCTTTTTAAAATGTTATTAGTTATACATAATTCTAATTAATCAGTTGGAACCCAGGGATAATTTTGATTGCTCATACTGTTATCCAACAGGTGAAGAAAGCCAGCTTTTTCTTTATTTTGTGTACTGAGTCTACAGCTACTTAACTATATAGATTTCTGCACAATTATAAGAAAATTAAAAGCTCTTTAAAATTGATTAAGATATTCTAGTTTCGGTCTTAATATATACCAAGTACTCTGAGATGACCATTTCCACTCAATGCTAACAATAGAAAACCTCTTGACTGTGACTAGAAAAGCGGCATTTTCATTTTCACTGACCTAAAATCATCATTGATAGTACTTAAAGAAGGTCATGATCATAACTTCAGTGTTTTCATTCTATGCAGCTTTAGACACTTCAAATGAAACAAGAGGACAAACACAGGGAGATGAGGGAGTAGTGCAAGCAGCAGGTATGTAATATTTGTCTACTTGCAGGATCCTTTAGGTGAATACTGCAAATTAGTGATTCGGATGTTATAGAACATGATTCAACGATGAAAGTTTTCCAAAATGCCAAGGCTATGAAGAAATTATATTCTGTAGCATAACTTTCATATCCTGTCTCTAACACTTGGAGCAACTGAAAACAAACCAAGTTGAGGCTTCACTTTAGCTGTGTTGTTAACAAGGAGTTGGGGCTATTTTTGATTATTAATTGTGATAGCAAACAAAACAGCTTGACTGAATACCAAAGTGAAGGCTAACAGGTATTTTCAATCCCAACCTAAACTTGACCCAATCAATATTGACTAAGCTTTGACCGCACATTTAGACAACAATACAGTGGATTACTATCAGTCTTGGTGAAAAGTCTCTAACATAAGACCAAGACAGGTGTAACAAACTCATCTTGATTTGTCAATTATATAATTCAACTAAATAAGAAATTTATGTTTCTACAACTGTTAAATTTGGTAAAGCAAAGACTTATCTGTAATTACTGATTGGGATGAAGCTATTTAATGTATGTAGAACTTCTTTGGCTGTTGAGTACGTTTCCTAAACAGTTCCACCTCCTCCTTTGCACCTGGCAGCTAATTAATATTTTCATCAGTCTCTGCCATTTCAACTACTCTCTTGTTTGTCATTCTTAGCTGCCATCTAATCCTCAGTCGGTTATAGGCATACCTTGGTTTTCATTCCTATTCCTCTGGCTGCCCACACCTTCCATAGCCTCCAGAATGCACCTCGTGCCTTCTGCAGTCTGTTCCTAATATCTTTACTGCCTCCACATCCAAAAAATACTTTTTTTTGACCCTAAACGTACTATTGCAGGTGCAGCTGGATATGACTCAGCAGAACAAGCACATAGAAATACAAAAGAAGCAGATACAGCTGTAGAAGGTACATACCACATGCCTATCAGCAATTCATGTGTTTCAATCAATATGAAAGATAAAGGGGGAAGGGGGATCGGGAAGAATGTCCTGGATAAAACAACAAGGAAGGACAGTAGGGGAGGGACTGGGACTCCTCAGGGATATCAGACTTTTTCCTTCTATTTTATGTAACATTTCTATTTTGTTGCTTCGGTCTAATCCTTTTAATACCCAGAATTGATCAACATGTAATTTCTCATAACATTGTCATTTAAAGCCTCTTCTTGCAAAAAGGGGAAGAGATTGATTTTAAGGGTAGTAACATTGAAACAAGGTGAGTAAACTTTAAAATGCATGTCATCTAATTATAACTGTCAATAAACTCTAATACAAAGAATAGGGCTGGTCAGTGAATACTGCAAATTAGTCATCCAGATGTCATAGAACAATTTGATTGAACTACCAAATGGAAGTTTTCCAAAATGCCAAGGCAATGAAGTTATTCTTTTCTGTCACATAACTTTCATATCCCATCTGTAACACTTGGAGCAACTGAAAACAAACCAAGTTGAGGCTTCACTTTAGCTGTGTTTTATTATTAATCTTTATGGCAAAGAGAAAAACTTGACTGAATACCAAAGTGACAGCTAACAGGCATTTTCAATCCCAACCAAAGCATTACACAATTAATACAATTCATAATGACCAAGCTTCAACCACACATTGAAACATCAATTCAGTGAATTACTATCAGTTCTGGTGAAAAGTCTCTAACATTATAGATCAAGACAGGTGTAACAAATTAACCTCGATTGTCAATTATGCAATTGAACTAAATAAGAAATTTATGTTTGAACAAGGCCTTTTTGATAACAGTTCTATAATTGAAATGTTTACTCCACCTTAATTTTCATCTTAAAGTTACTAGTTCCATCACAGCTCTCCCCTCTCTACACCCCTACACCCTTCTTGCATAATGCTGCCGGTTTTAATTTCTTTTCAAATGGTTTGATTTTAGGTGGCACTTTTGTGAGCTAGATCAACATAGCAAGCAAGAACACTACCCCCCTCCCAATCGAATGATCATCCTCCCCTCCTCCCCTCCTCTCTCACTGTCCAAAATAAATGGAAAACCTGATTCTATTAACCACTTTATTTACAACCCTATAAAGCTTCAACTACAGCCAAATCAGTAGAGTCTCTAGTTTCTTACTAAACGCCCCCTGGATTAAGCAATGTCCTTCTGATAAGCACCCCTCCTCTTAGCCACAACTTGAAATAATTCAAGCCTGGGCGCTTATTCCAGGAAATGCATGTAAAGTTGTTAAATGTGGTGAAGCAAAGACCTTAGTGTACCAGTAATTTATGATTGGGATGAAGTTATATAATATTTGTGGTATTTTTTTCACAGTTTCTGGTCTTTCTACTTTACTTTTAACTTAAAAAGGATATGTATGGAAATGCCTGTAGAACTTTATTAATCAAAGCACTATTTGAGGAGAAATGAGTTAGTTCTCAGACATAGAACAATGGTGATCAAAGAAGCTATTTACATGTATTCACGTTTGCTTACATGTCATCCAGCACAAATGGATCAAACATATCAATAACGATTTTCCATGTATCCCTTTTCTACAAAATTCTTGTCACACTTCTTTTTCCATGGAGCTAAAAGGAGGCAAAATATTCTTTGCCTTATAGTTAGCACTAATATTAAAATTAGAGCCTTGCCTGTGTTTGGTTGATTTAATGAGTGCATAATTTGTATTTTTTTCATATTCATCAGATTCAGGTACAGCTCCACGTGATTCAACAGAAGAAGTCCGTGCAGCAACAAGTATGGCTTTAGAAGGTATATACCATATGCTTATGAGCAATTTATGAGTTTCAACCAATTTTGGAATTGGGAAATGTTAAGGGATGGGTGGGGGGGTGGGGAGATTAATGTAGATTAATAAAGAGCAGGAAATTACTGAAAAGAAGGGACTACAGAGTTGATAATGTAAATTGTACACTGTGTAGAGTTTTAAAACAGATGCTTCATATTGCCCACGGGTGTTGCAAGCTATATGATAATCAGGCATAGAGCTTGATATTAAGTGTTAAATGTGTGAAATAGGTGGGTTGGCTTGAAGGTTAGTATCTATGAGGAAACATAAAGGGAGCGTAGTTGCACAAATCCAACAACATCTACTTTGAATAAGCACAGACGTGGAGGATAGTTAGTGTGGGGAAGCAAACAGAAAAGACCTGCATGGCAAACATGAAATAGTTGGTGACTAAACTGTTTTGAAACTTACAAAATAGTTACTGTACCTCATAATTACCAATTCTCTTCAGCTGATTTTAATTACTAATTTTGACCTGGCTGCTAGCTTGACAATAATTAATTTGCCTAACATTTCCTCTTCATCTTGACACTTGTGGAAAACTAATTAAAAGGGGGAACTCCCTACTTCAAGTCTTTTTGGCAGATTCAAGTTAGAATTTTCTGCTGGTGACTAGTTTTTTACAAGAGGTAAATAATTTGGTTAATGACTGGCAAATCTGGGAAAGATCACTAATGGAAGGTTTTCCTAAATCCTGAGAGGGAAAAAAAAAGAGGAAGACAATAAAAAAAAGGACAGCTAGAGGAAAGGGAGAGGAAAAAAACCATAGATAGAATAACAAAGAAAGAAGGGAAGGGGGAACAAAGGAAATTGGAGGATGTAGATGGCTAGGAAGATGTTTTTTCTCTGCTTTACTTTGATGGAAACTAGTGGTAGTTCTCCTTGTAATACTGCACATTGGGCAAAGGCTCTTCTTTTTATCTTGCTTTTGATCCACCATTAACATTAAGATGTGCCTTCCTATAAGTCTTAATCTAACAGGTGCACGAGTAATATTTTACAAAATGTCAGTTAAAGAACATTGCCAAATACGTACCACAAGATTATCACAGTTATTTTTTCATCTTGTAAGGGACTAAAGTCTTCCTGAGTGAAAAAAATGGACAAGCAACAAAACTGGATGGCTTATCAATATCATGACAATACTGAGAATAATTACTATTTTGTTTTTTGTTTGCAGAAAGTGGTGGCCAGGTGGCAGGTAACTTAAAAGGTAGTAAGCAAAATTTTGAATTGTCTTATGTTGTAAATATTCTCACCTTTGTTACTGGTACCTGTAAGGTGCTCTGTCTACTGCTTTATTCTGCATCACACAAATTAGATGGTTAACAGCTAATCTCTCTCTTTTTAGATCAGCAGTATTAGGATTTAGGGTTAGGCTTCTACATAGTGTTATTGTCTCACAAATTTAGAAATTCATTCAGCGATGCAAGAAATCCTGCCATTTTGTGTCACAACTATTCGTAGGAAAAAGTGAGATCTTGGAAAATTTCTGTGAAGTACCCAAAAATCGACTGGGATCTTTGTGCACCTCATTTACCTCAACTGTCATCCAACTGGTTTTCTCTTGTGAAATGGTAAACAACCATGTTCTTGGCAAACCCCCTGCCAACTCGATAAGCTGGAAACCACTCCACTTCGCGTCGTGGTTTCCTATGGTTATCTTGTGTTCTCCCAATCTCCTGCGTGTTTACATCAGGCTATGTAAACACGGAAACCATTTTACATTTCTTTATTGGAAATAAATTCTTTATTGGGCTTTTAGTGCATTTTCACAACGCTCGTACAAGACAGCGAAAAATTATCTTGGATTCACTTTTTCATAAGTTGTTTTTCATTCCTCGGAGTAGCTTTGCAGCTATATTTCATCTCTAACTGAGCTTTCTTTCGTTTGTAACCACCCGCGTGAAGTACACTATATTTTCTATTCCGTTTATACGCTGAATTTTGCTATATTTCAGACGACCATAACATCGGGGGTATACAAATGTACATAAAATAAAAGAGCTCTCTTCAAAGAGAAATTCTTCGTGTTTATCTTTTAAAAATATTATTTTTGGCCCGTGAAAAGCGAGCGCGCCAGACCAAAATATATAGCGTGCATTTTCACGGAGTTAGGCCATTTTTCTTGCTGTACTCCTCTGCAAATCGCACGCTATTGGGACAAAACTCGACGTGTTTGGTCTCTACTTCAGTTTTGATTCATTTAAATATATCAATTTTAACTTAAAAATTAACCTACCTTTATTGTTAAGTGGACAAACCACCGTTTTAGGTAAAGTTTTTGAGTTGACTTTTCTCGAGTCGACGTGTTTTTAGCTGAAAAATCGATGGGAAAATCGTAGCGTTTCTTTCTCCTGTCTTTTATTACTTTAAAGATTTGCTAAAATCAGGAAATAGGGCACTTGTACCAAACCAAAACATTCATTAGTCTACAATTTGATTGTTTATTATCATTATCGCACAGTTCACAATAAGGAAACTGTATCAGGAGAGGAGATTTTAAACTCACATGCCGCGTGCTTGTTGACGTACAAGTTCCCGAGTGTAACAATTTCGGCTTTTCGGGAAACTCTGCTCCCCTTATTTGATAGGAAATATCAATAGCCCCATAAAATTCATTAACTGCGCCATGTTTCCAGAAAATAAGACTGGAAAATGATTTTTCCACTTTCCACCATCAAGAAATTCCACGTAGAAATAGTATTTGTAGCGTGACTGCGTGACCTTTCATGAGAAGTAAAATTTGTTTATCTCTTTTTTAAAAAGACACCTCCAGAAAGTTCTTTATCCTTCTGTCATCTTATTTGCCTGTTTTTTGACTGCAAATATCATCTGCATTTGCCATTATTTTCGCTGATTGTCATGGCCTTTCCTGCGTGCACGTGCGAGCAAGTTCATATACAGCACTCTTTCGAGTTTCTTCGCGTGGTGTCGGGCATAAGTGCGTAGGTCTGGCTCAAAAGATATCTACACGCTGCAACACGGGTTTCTATGTTTTCTCCTTTTTCTTTATTTGTATTTTTATTCTCCTCCTTGCATTATCACACCAATTTTTTTTTTTATTCCCTGGGCGCGTTCCCTCAGATTTGGAAGTAGGCTATGAAAAGTCAATATTGACCAGAACTGAAACCTTTTCTCTCACTATTTGTTTCAAAGAACCCCTGTTATTTATAACTTTATTTCTCAAGAGAATATGTTTTTATTTGCCATTTACTTCCATTAGTACATGAAACTAGGTCCCGATAAGTTTTTTTGTTTCGTGACTCCCAAAGGCTGTTTGCGACAACATCAGTTGAGAAATCAAAAGCAATTACACCCGAGAAATTCGCTTGTAGCCTTCTACGCGCAGAAGGCAAATCCAAGTAATGAAGCTTTCTAAGACCTCTGTAAACTAGAGACATTACGTGACGTCGAGGGGTCAAATATTTACACTAAATCTGTGACCCTCAAACAGATTACGTACTCGTACGTGTAACGTCCGAAAAATGTCACGCATGTATAACACCGTAGTCGCACCTGGCGAATTATATCCACTGGCTTCAATAGTAAAGAGACAACTTATTTACTATTTGTATATGAGCAAGCTTATTTACCCTACTTGTAAAACTCCTTGATGAAGTCTACAATTGTCAGACGAAATGCGTGGGAGATAAATACAAGTTTTTACTTTCTCAGTTCGTGCAGTGAGTTCGACGGAAAAATTAAGCTCACCCTGTCATAATCAATGATTTGATACCATAAGTACCAATTTAGGTACATCATTGGGCTTTGATCACAATAGTGAAAAAAATGTGCGTTTCCCCACGCTCGCCACCTTTATTCTTTGGAGAATTATTTTACTGGAGGGCGATGTCACTTAGCTTGGTGCGTCTTGACTCTAGCCGACGAAAATTATCGAGGGGAACCCCATGAAATTCTTGTCAAATATTTTATAAACTTTGTCTACCCTTGATTTGCACGCAATAAAAGGGAAATTCCGAACGATATTTCAAAATATTTTATTCACTAGTCAATTTATGACATGTTTTATAATATTACATTTTTCCTGGTAAATTTAAGAGAGGGTCAATTTTTTGTGACAGCCAAAGATACACATCTCTGAAAAGTCTCTGAAACTCTTAAAGAAATTTACACTGCCGGTAATATTTCCTCCTTCTCGCAACAGCGCAACAGACATTGTTAATCTTATGTAGTGTAGGTGTATCAGTTGTATTACGTCTTCATAGTGATGCTGTGTAAGAAATCGAGTGTCTAAAAAGCTCTCAATTCTCGCGCTGGCCAGAGACGGCAACAGTTCACACCTCTAAACTCGTGGGTGTACAGCATTAAAAAAAAAAAAAAAAAAAAAACATTTGAGAGACGTGAATGTATCCCAAACATGCGTTTCGTCCGAGAAAAAGCTTATTCTAGCGCATATTGGCTTATTTGGAGATTACGAAGGCCGCGATTTCACGATATGCCTCAAATATCGTGCACAACTTGGTATGAGATTCAGACCTTCGGGTTTGTAAATGCCAGTATCCTCGTCATAAAAATCGGACACGTAAAGTTGAGAGAGAGGTGAATCTGAAGATGGCAGAAGAAATCAAAGCTGGTGGCGAGTCTTCCTGGTGGCAAGGTGACTGTAAACCTAATAGAACGCGTACTGTAACTGCTATCTTAGAGTCAGCAATGAATAAGGAAGAAGGGCAAGAAGAGCGCTTATCTGAACATCAGTTTTCCTGACTAATGATTTGGGACTGAAATGAACTTTATATCATATGATTGCTAGGGATACGCAGGTACTGTAGAGACGCTCACATAAATAGAGGTGGGCGACCCTCCCTCTGACTTTAGAACTGCGACAAGTTTATAGCGCAGACCAACTGGCACAGTTTGGAGCACCTCAGGGTCTCACTAGGCTCATCGCATTAGAAACCTTCAGCAAACTAATGGTAGAAGTGGGTAGTTATCAGCAACGTGCACGGATCCCTGAACGTGGGTCATCGCGAGAACTATATCCAATCTGTCACAAACAGAACAAGAAAGCGAGATATTTTTGCTAAGAGGAAGGATGTATCAAGACGTTTCAGTCATTGGCTGCCATCCAAAAGCACCCCAACAAAGGCAAACACAGTGAAGCTGACAAAAAATCCGCCTATGGTAAGATCAAGAGAAATGGACGAAGACCGGCTTGCCATTTTAAAGGGGGTGGCTACGTTCAAGGTCGGACCTCAGATAAACTTCTGACGAACATCCCTAACTAGCCAAATAGACTTTGCATGGGCTCTTTGGAAAACACAAAAACCAGCCACCTTTTCTCAGAAAGCAAAGAATGATCTCCTTGACATGAGCTGGACAGGGGAGGAAACTAGTAAGGCAACCGCCTCTAACAAGGCAGAAGATAAGGAGTGACCTTGCAAATTTAGACGAAGACTGCAGGAGAGGGTACAGCTGCTATTAAGCTAAAAAAAAAATAAAGATCTTTGCATCTCACTTTTAAAAGTTGTCAAATATTTGGATGAATCGAAAAGTCTAAAAACTCAGTCGTTTATTTGCCTCTGTTGATTGACAAGCCGTCAATTAAATTGACTGATACTTGAGGTGGACATTAACTAAGGATCAAGAAAAACCGGGGGAGGGGGTGGTCTATATCCCCCCCGGAAAAAAGCCAAAACAGAAACCAGTTTGTCTTTTTTCAGTTTTGGGGTAGATCCTTTAACCTGGCAAAGTTTCGTTGAAACCGGTAAGATGGAATGAAGCACGACTGCCCTGTGCTACATGCCATTTTTCTCGGATTTCTTCGACAATTTTTACCAACAGAATTCCAACCTACAGTTGATTTGAAAATGTATCTCAACAGGTGGACTACACAAACATACTGTTTTAATTACAGTGACAGTGGTAGAAATCTACAAAGCAACCGAGCAAAACACCGAGGTTAATGCATAATTAAACGAGTATTTTCATGCGACAACTACATGTTTCGAATATTTTAAGTGTGCGAAGATTTTATTTAGCTCACGCTCACGTATTTACAACAACATTTATAGTTACATGTAATTTACTCTAAAGTTATGCCAGTGGGATAGATTGTAAATTAAAGAACAATATATCCGACGGGCCAATTTCAGCTAAAAACACGTCGACAGAGCTGGTATCTTTGTAAATAGCGATTTGTTTATTTAGCACTCGAGAAAAGTCAACTCAAAACTTTACCTAAAACGGTGGTTTGTTCACTTAACAATAAAGGTAGGTTAATTTTTAAGTTAAAATTGATATATTTAAATGAATCAAAACTGAGGTAGAGACCAAACACGTCGAGTTGTGTCCCAATAGCGTGCGATTTGCAGTAAGAGTACAGCAAGAAAAATGGCTTAACTCCGTGAAAATGCACGCTATATATTTTGGTCTGGCGCGCTCGCTTTTCACGGGCCAAAAATAATATTTTTACATGATAAACATGAAGAATTTCTCGTTGAAAAGAGCTCTTTTATTTTATGTACATTTGTATACCCTCGATGTTATGGTCGTCTGAAATATAGCAAAATTCAGCGTACAAACGGAATAGAAAATATAGTGTACTTTACGCGGGTGGTTACAAACGAAAGAAAGCTCAGTTAGAGATGAAATATAGTTGTAAAGCTACTCCGAGGGATGAAAAACAGTTTATAAGAAAGTGAATCCAAGATAGTTTTTTCGTTGTCTTGTGCGAGCGTTGTGAAAATGCACTGAAAGCCTAATAGAAATTATGCATATTAGGTACGTTTTGGCCGATTTCGAACTTTCGTATTTTTTTCCAAAATAAAAACTCGCTGGAACTTTTGAATATTATTTTTGAAAACGATTCACCAAAAGGGTCTTTTTGAGCAAATAAAAAAAAAAGTTGAATTTTTGCTTCTGTCGCCGGATTCTCGAAAATTACTGACAACCTCTCAATACCATAGAGAGATTGAGAGTGTAGATAAAGCCTTGAAGCAATGAAGAAGGAAAAGAAGTTGTAGTTCTTACCAAAAATTGTATAATTGGTGATCAAAGAAGAGCTTGATTTACTTGCAGTATTCATGTTGGCTTATGGGTCATTTAGCACTTGGATCAAACAATATCAATAATTATGTTTGTGCTTGCCTAACTCTTTCTTCCACAACACTTGTCACACTTCTGAATTTTTCAATGAAGCTGAAAGGAGGCAAAATATTCTCTCACCTCTACTCATTTGAGTCTTACCTGTGTTTGGTTCATTTAATGACTTCATAATTTGTATTTTGTAATATTCATATTCCGGTACTGTGACAAAATGCTGTTGGATGTACGCAGACATAAATCACTGAGTCATATCTATAAGAGGCAAACATATGCACATGCACATGAACTTATCTGATTGAGTGTGCTGCTAAAGATCCAATAATAATATGCGCATTCGGAGTTGTGAGTTTTGTGTGGCTTATGAACATGTAACTGCTTGGTTTAGATTGGAGTATTAAAATAAGTCTCTTTAAAGGTTGATTCATTGTTTCAGGTGCAGCTCCATATGATTCAGCAGAACAAGCACAGAGAAATACAAAAGAAGCTTGGACAGCAACAGGTACAGCTGTAGAAGGTATATACCACGTGCCTATCAGCAATTTATGTATTTCAACCAATATGAAATATGAAGGGGGAAGGGGGGTTGGGGAGAACATCCTGGATAAAACAACAAGGAAGGACTATAGGGGAGGGACTGGGACTCCTCAGGGATATTAGACTTTTTCCTCTTATTTTATGTAACATTCCTATTTTGTTGCTTTGGTTTAATCCCTTTAATACTCAAAATTGATCCACATGTAATTTCTCATAACGTTATTTAAAGCCTCCTCTTGCAAAAAGGGGGCAAGACTGATTTTAAGGAAAGTAACATTGAAACAATGTGGAAGTGAGTGAGCACAACAGACGTTAGGACATTCATCATTTCTACTTTTTTCTTGTCTTCTAAATGGAAGTCTGTTTGCAGGTTTCCAAACTAGGCAGCATTCCATATTGTGATATTTCTCCTTTCTCCACAGAAAAAGCTCCAAACATCTCTGTAAGGAGTAAAACATCTGATGGGAATGAACAAACAAAGTCTGTTCAAGGTGGGAAAACTTTACAACGCATGTCATTTAACCCTTTAACACCTAAGAGAGACTGGCATCTATTTTCTCCTAACAAGATCACCCCTGATTCAAACATTAAGGTCATGAGAATAAGGGAAATGATCAACAACTAAGAAGCTTTTGATTGTTAAACAAATTCTTTTTTTCAGAATGTTAAGAAATGTGTGGAGAAAGTATGGAGAATGTGCATACTGATGTTAGGGTGTAAAGGGTTAATTATAACCGTCAATAAACTGTAATACAAAGAATAAGGCTGGTCGGTGAATACTTATACGTAGTGATTCAGATGTCATAGAACGTGATTGAACTATGAACGTTTTCCAAAATTCCAGGGCTTTGAAGAAACTCTTTTCTGTAGCATAACTTTCATATCCTGTCTGTAACACTTTGAGCAATTGAAAACAAACTTAGTAGAGGCTTCGCTATAGCTGTGTTGTTAACGAGCAGTTGGGACTATTTTTGATTACCAATTGTGATAGCAAACAGACCAACTTGACTGAATACCAAAGTGATGGCCAACGGCCAAAACATGACACAACCGACACAATAAATATCGACCAAGCTTCGACCGCACTAATGACTTTTTCAATGAAGCTAAAAGGAGGCAAAAGATTCTCTTCCTTATAGTTAAAGTTAGCACTAATATAGTAAATGTGTTTAAAATTTGAGCCTTGCCTGAGCCTATTTTGGAATTGGGAAATGTGAAGGGATGGGAGGGGGGGAGATGAATGTAGATTAATACAGAGCAGGAAATTACGGAAAAGAAGGGACTGGCAGTGCTGATATTAGACTTTGTACTCATATTGTGTAACAGTTGTATTCCATTGGTTTGGTTTCATTCCTTTAATACCCAATGTTAACCAACATGTAATTTCTAACAACATCGTAATTTAGAGCCTCTTCTAGCAAGAAGGGGCACAAATTTGTTTTTTAGACAGAAAATTGAGTGAGTTGTAAAGCACAACAAAGCCTGCCACGATATGATTTTTTTATAACTGTCAATAAACTTTACCACCAAGAACATAGCTGGTCGGCAAATGCTGAAAATTAGTGATTTAAAAGTCATAGAACATAATTTTCATATCCTGTCTGTAACGCTTACGTACAACTGGAATTCAATCAAATCGAGACTTTGCTTTAGGCATTTTGTTAACGAGCTGTTGAGACTTTTGTTTATAACAATGTGTTACAATTGTTTGCATTACTCGTATCAACCATTTTCCAGTAGAAGTTTTAAATGATATAATCTCCTCGCGCGAGGTGATTTTAGCGAGATACGACGCAATCATAGACCAAAGAAAGTGCATGCATCTCTATAGTCACCAGAGCAATTATACCTATCAGTCATTATAATTATCCTAATTAGTAGTACTTTAGTTGTTATGTTACAAATTTTCTTGTTACCTAATTTTCCTCCTAACGGCGCTAGTTCCAAAATAAATGTGTCTCTACATCCTCCTTGGAGTTTGATGCCAATCTTAATTTCCTTTCACATTATATGATTTTAGGCGGCACTTCTGTGAGCGAGGACAACAAGGAATTGAATCAATTACACTCTGCTGGAAGAGACAGTGACGTCACTGAGATGAAATCGACGCTTCCTCGTGGATTTTCTGTTGACTCCAGGGACGCAACAGGCAGAACGCCGCTAATGGATGCTGCTTTGAATGGCAACGTTAAAGCGGTGAAGAGTATAATGAAAAGGGGAGCAGACCCGTCCCTGATGGACAACAGAGGATGGAACACGTTACATCATGCCGCACAGAGCGGAGACACTGATATTATATCTCTAATCCATACTCACCTGCCCAACATTGAGCCAAAAACAGGCGAGGGTTACACGCCACTAATGGTGGCGGCATTCTGTGGCAATTTGCATGCAGTGAAATGGTTTCTTGAGAAGGGGGCAACTGTAGCCTGTGAAAGCAACAAAGGATGGAACACGTTACATTATGCCGCACAGGGCGGAGACACGGATATTATATCTCTAATCCATACTCACCTGCCCAAAATTGAGCCAAAATCAGGCGAGGGTGAAACGCCACTAATGGTTGCGGCATTCTGTAGCAATTTAAATGCAGTGAAATGGTTTATTGAGAAGGGGGAAACTGTAGCCTGTGAAGGCAACAAAGGATGGAACACGTTACATTATGCCGCACAGGGCGGAGACACTGATATTATATCTCTAATCCATACTCACCTGCCAAATATTGAGTCAACAACAGACGAGGGTGAAACGCCATTAATGGTGGCGGCATTCTGTGGCAATTTGCATGCAGTGAAATGGTTTCTTGAGAAGGGGGCAACTGTAGCCTGTGAAAGCAACAATGGATGGAACACGTTACATTTTGCCGCACAGGGCGGAGACACTGATATTATATCTCTAATCCATACTCACCTGCCCAACATTGAGCCAAAATCAGGCGAGGGTGAAACGCCACTAATGGTGGCGGCTTTCACTGGCAAATTACATGCAGTGAAATGGTTTATTGAGAAGGGGGCAACTGTAGCCTGTGAAAGCAACAATGGATGGAACACGTTACATTATGCCGCACAGGGCGGAGACACTGATATTATATCTCTAATCCATACTCACCTGCCCAACATTGAGCCAAAATCAGGCGAGGGTGAAACGCCACTAATGGTGGCGGCGTTCTGTAGCAATTTACATGCAGTGAAATGGTTTATTGAGAAGGGGGAAACTGTAGCCTGTGAAGGCAACAAAGGATGGAACACGTTACATTTTGCCGCACAGGGCGGAGACACTGATATTATATCTCTAATCCATACTCACCTGCCAAATATTGAGTCAAGAACAGACGAGGGTGAAACGCCATTAATGGTGGCGGCATTCTGTGGCAATTTGCATGCAGTGAAATGGTTTCTTGAGAAGGGGGCAACTGTAGCCAGTGAAAGCAACAATGGATGGAACACGTTACATTTTGCCGCACAGGGCGGAGACACTGATATTATATCTCTAATCCATACTCACCTGCCCAACATTGAGCCAAAATCAGGCGAGGGTGAAACGCCACTAATGGTGGCGGCTTTCACTGGCAAATTACATGCAGTGAAATGGTTTATTGAGAAGGGGGCAACTGTAGCCTGTGAAAGCAACAGAGGATGGAACACGTTACATCATGCCGCACAGGGCGGAGACACTGATATTATATCTCTAATCCATACTCACCTGCCCAACATTGAGTCAAAAACAGGCGAGGGTCACACGCCACTAATGGTGGCGGCTTTCTGTGGCAAATTACATGCAGTGAAATGGTTTCTTGAGAAGGGGGCAACTGTAGCCTGTGAAAACAACAGAGGATGGAACACGTTACATTATGCCGCACAGGGCGGAGACACTGATATTATATCTCTAATCCATACTCACCTGCCCAACATTGAGTCAAAATCAGGCGAGGGTGACACGCCACTAATGGTGGCGGCTTTTTGTGGGAATTTTCATGCAGTGAAATGGTTTCTTGAGAAGGGAGCAACTGTTACTTCTGTTGAGAGCAATGGATGGAATATATTACATTGTGCCGCACAGGGCAGTGACCCTGATACCATTGATCTTATCCTTACTCACCTGCCGGACATTGAGTCAAAAACAGCTAATGGTGAAACACCTCTTATCATCGCTGTTCTTCATGGTAAGCTGCAGGGTGTAAAGTGTCTTCTTGAAAGGGGAGCCAATCCTTCGGCTAAAGATAACGATGGACAGGGCTCTTTACATCATGCATTATCATCGGACTCAGATATCTTTGACTTGCTGCTGAGTCACGTGCCTAGAAGTGAGTCAACAACGGGCAATGATTAACTCAGGTTGGTGAAGTAAGCTTTACAGCTTATTTTATGTTTGCTTAACTCTTCAATTTGAAAGTGTAACTCACTGGTTTGTTTGTTCCGTCAACTTCAAAGCCATTCTTTTTACCAAGTGATCTATTGCTGCAAATTGATGTTTTTAACAGGCTGTGTGTTATTTAATATTTTACCGACTAGACCTACTTACAATCTGTACAAGTTGTGAGCTGAGTAACAGTTTCGGTACTGAATAGCTTATGTCGTGAGAGTTGCACTTGAGCCTGGGTTTCCTGTGGCATGTTGGCTGAGTGTAATGATTTAGTTCTAAAACGTTAGTTGATTTCAACACTTTGTGCATAAAGGCATTATTCTTAGAATTTGGCTATCCACCTTTTGAAACCTTTCATGAAATCAAAGTTGTACATATAGTTAACTGAAGACAAAAGTCAGTGGCATGTGGACAGACTCTGTCAGAGCACAGCCATAAGCTTAAAAGATATGAATGATCCGAATGAAACCTATGTTGCGGTGTTATTGCTGGGCTGCATGAGACGATGTACCAAGATATACAGCCTCTTAGTGCAGCGTGTTCTTGTTCAAATGTCGTAGGAATCTTCATTTCTCTTCCTAAAATACTCATTGGTTTTGTCTCTTAGATTGCAGATTGCATGGTGTTGTCAATAGTTGACGTTCTCGTGTGGCTTTTACTATACAGGAAAAACTCAGTGTTGGAGATTTTTGAATATGAACACACTCTGATAAAAGCCTGAAGTGTATGTCTGTACAATATTGCCGGTGATTTTATTTTTATGTAGTTAAACGTTTTTTAAAATTGTTATGATGTTATGTATATTTCACAACTACGAGAGTGTTTTTTTTGTTTTGTAGAACACGTAAATGTAATACAATAGCTGTGAAATTTTCTGCAAAAGTTTGAAATATGAACATTGAACAAGTTTATGGACAAGTTTATGTCTCAAGCTAAGAATGTGGTTTTTTTTTATAGCATTTGTACTGAGCCAAAATCGAGGTTTTAAATACTATTTTCTATAAATAGTACATGGCTTTTACATTTTACACTTTGTACAGAATATCTCATTTTTCAAGGACATATGTTAATAGAATACATGAAGAAATTTCTGCATTCGGATTGGCTGCAATACAGTTTCCAGGTAACATCAATGCAGAAGAGAGCTAATACAGTGCAGAACATTGTTAATTCAGTGAAAAAACGATAAAGAACTGTTTAATAGCTGAAATGAGAAAGGTGTGCCGAAAAACTTCCCCTAAACACGTTGATTTGACCTAACGCACAATGATGTTTGCAAGGTTTGGATGAATCATTCTGTACGTGTTTCAACCCTCTTTGTTTCTGCGTTATCAGGTGAAGGTATCTCGAAAATTAGATCATTTATAAATGAATTAGAGGTGACATGATTTTCTTTGGCAATTTGAAACAAGTAAGCACTCGTAACTTTTAAAAAGACTGCAAATTACAACTCCAATTGTTACAAATCTTTAGTTAACCTTTGTAAGCGAGGTTATAACATTAGTCAATAAATTTTATATCACGGAACGAAAGAAAGTGTTTGTCAATGGGAACGACTTTGATATTTCTAGCGTCTGCGAAAGTAGTAAAAAAATTCCTGTTTGAATAAAATACGGAGAAAGGGGAAAGGTAAAGGGAGCAAAATTTATATATCGTCTATGGGGAAGGGAGCCTCTTTTTTTCGGGGGGGGGATTTCTCGTTTTTTAGGGGGAAGGGAGGTTAGGTCAGTTTTCGCTATAAAGGGGTATAAAGGGGAAGTGGGTGTCTGCCAATAAGGGGGATCATTAGAATATTGCAGAGCCTGGGGGAGGGGACTCAAACAAAATCCTTCGACTCCAACACCTCTTCTCCTCCCAGGTCATAAATAATAAGCGATCCTAAACGAAAAAAAAAAAAATTCCTCTCCCCGTGTTCACAATAAGTGAGCCTTTAACGATTGTGTTAGCTTCAGTTTTGGCAAAATTTAGAAAAACACTGAAGGAAACAAGGTAGTTACTGCGTTTGTTTACTAGTTTCACATACTTGACTTTGCATATCTAACTAGGCTACTCAAAAACTAGGTAATTTAGTATTATCAACTGAGTTGATGATGTAAATTGGCCACCGTAAAGAGTTTAACAGCTAAAGTTTCGAGCGTTAGTCCTTCGTCAAAACGATTGACGAGGAGCTAGCGCTCGAAACGTTAGCTTTTAAATTCTTCACGGTGGCCGATTAATGTTATCAACTCTGTTGATATCACTAAATTACCCTGTTATACTCTCCCACCGGCGCAGCACCAATCTCTTTAGAAACTTGCCCTCTTTACTCAAACACTATTCAGGCTCTTAAATAAGAGGCACCGTAGCTTGTATGTTATAGCTCTGCGGAAATGTTTCCTTGCCTCTTCCATCAGAAATAAGACCAGCAGTTGTATTTCCCCTAAGCACAGCTCCATTATTGCAATTAACTGCCAAAGCAACAGCCACCGCTTCAACCGCCGCCACAGCCCCACCAACTGTAGTGGATACAACTACAAATGTTACAGCAATTTCAGAATCCATTCCAGTCACACCAGCCTGAGGTACGATTACCTTCTTGGGCAAGCCGTAGCTACGACTGATGCCTCCTTCATAGCCTCTCTACACTGTGAACTATCAGAGGGAGGTTTGCGGGATTTAAAGTACAGCCATGACATGAAAATAGCAATATTGATATCGGCGCTATATAAGTATAATTATAATAATTAACAGACAATATTGCAGTTTTTCGGCCACAAAATGACTTGCCAGCCAATACTGGACTAACAATAGCAAATAAGAGAAAAAGAAAGCCAGCTGAACATATGCCAAGATGTAGAAGTAAAATAAAACTCTTACAATGATCTACATTACACACATTGTAGATGGCAACGAATAAGGCAACAATGGACAAGGCAATGACTAATAGAATACACAAGCTCCAAGTTGGATTAATCATGATGCCAATTGCAACCTAGTACAAATGGTATAACACCAAGTTTATGCTCATCATTAGAGAAAATCTACAGAAAAATTAAATAAGATAATGTGTTCTTGGGTTTTAAATTCTTTAAACTTAAACAGCGGTGAAATAGTGCCGCGAAAAAGTCCAACACTATGACCCCAATAACTGTCAGCAGCATGGCGCAAATCAATGCAGCCTCTATCACTGACAGGAAATGACACAGAAATGTCACAGAAATAGCTAGTTTCGTTGCAAAACCCAAATTAAAAACAACAACATTTAGCACCCTAAGAACATAGCTTACAACTATTCTTGTCGTTGGCACTTACTTCCAAGTATGCCAAATTAAAATAGAATGGTAATGAACTTATTGCAGTTTTTGTGGTCATTGTAACATGTCACATATGACAGGACACCATAAAAGTGCCTTTAAGTAATGAATGCGTCCTGTGGCCTCGATGTCTGGGAAGTGTCCATCTGTGACGCATTGCGCAGAATTCAATAGCGCGTCTCGTAAGCTTGCATTTACAACAAGATCTTGGAGCTGCAGAATAATCAGACAATAATGGTATAAAAAGTTATGGTACAATGGATTAAAAAAGGTTTTTTATTGATATGTAATAATAATAGGACTGAGTTGTTGAGGAAAACCAGCTAATTACGTTTGGACATTGATGAAATAAGCGTACACAAACGAAGCTGTATAGAACTTATCTCACCGAACTGTGTTAATCATTGCCGGTTGTTGGCTCACCAGCAAGTCCAAAAAATCACTATCCTGTGCAGCACATTCCATCGTTGTCTATGCAGGTTGCAGTTGTCGTCGTATTACAAACCACGTCACTGCATGTCTCTTACCAGCCAAACAAGCTACCATAAGGGGCAAGAGACCCTGTCCTGTGTTCCTTGGGTCAATGTCTGGCACGTCAGTAAGGATAAGGTTAATGGCGTCAGTGTCAGAACTCTGTGCAGCAAAACACAACACATTCTTATATCCTCTATTGTTTATAGGTTGCAGTCTCTTCCTTCGCAAGAAACCACTGCACCGCCTGTCAGTTACCATTCACAACAGGGATCATTAGTGGCGAGAGATTCTCAGCACACCTTGACTCAATGTTAGGCACGTGAGTTAACATCAGAGCAATGATTTCAGGGTTACCACCCAGTGCAGCATGTTGTAATAAATTCCGTTCTCCGTTGTTCATCAGACAAAGATCTGCTTCTCTCTTTATTAAACCCTTAACTACTTGAACCTTGCCATTCAGAGCAACATTCATTAGCAGCGTTGTACTATTTTCATCTCCGGAGTCAACAGAAAATCTAAGAGAAGTGCTCCCTAAAATCATATAATTTGAACAGAAATTTGAAAAGAAAGGCACACTACTAATGATAAAGGTAATGGAAATATATTGACGGGGCAAATAAAAGCATTTTGAAATATCACTTAATCCTTTTCCAGGTAGGTACTCAGTTGCTCAGGAACTGACATTGATCCACAAAACAGGGGGTAGGGGGGGCACCATTTTTACGTCTCAAAGAGGAGTGGGCCATAAAAAGTCACGCACTACTAAGGGGGGTGGGTCATCTGTAAAGCATGCTTTAATCTGATCGTACAGGACGTGTACTATTGAAAGTGCAATTTATACGAGTTTATTGAGTTAAGACTTTGACAGCATGATCTGAAATGAGGAAAAGCCGAACATGTTTTGAAAACCTGCAGAAACTGTAACCACTATAGACTAACTACTTACCATGAGTAACCCATACAAACTAAATGATCCATTCATGCTCAAATTAAAGCACAGAAAAAAGCATTTTGGCAACTTTTAACTATTTTCCTCCGAAGATCTTAATAGTAATTCTCCTTACTGTCTGACACACAATTTTTATGAAGTTAGTTCGGAGAATTTGGTATTGGATCAACTAGATAGTGTCTTTATTGTCCATAGAAAGATCATAATCATGGATCGACACCACGACCTTACGACACGTGAATACAACAGACGACTCGCGCCCAGATCATTACACTATCCGTAGGGATCGACGAGTCTCTTTTACAACTCGTTACGATCCGTGGTATTAGGCAATCCTCGCCAAACTTGTGAGTAAAAACAAAAAAGAAAAATGTAGAAATTATGAGTGTCTACAGATAAGTTGTGATCTTTCCCTTGCAAATTGCTTTGCTTATATTTCGGTCCTAAAACAAATTCTTGCCCCAGTTGGGAATATCTCGGTTTCTGCTCGCTAAAAAAATCTAATTAGTTACGAACTTCCCATTCGCTAAACACAAACAAAAAACTCTTGAAGATTCACGTTTTTTTTTTTTGAGAATACATTCTCCTCACTGGATTTCACGAGGTTTTTCCTGTAAACTCTGCGTTCTTGGAAATTACAATAAATCCATTCACGTACTGTATTAAACCTATTCCTATTGATTAAATGTCATCATCCATCTTTGACCTATGTCAATCTGCGCTTACATTCAACAGTCGCTTCCAGTCGGTGATTAGTAACCAAAATAATCAAGTCAAACATGAACAACGAGAAAAGTAAAATGCCAATAATATCAAAACTTCTTATTGAAAAAAGAGGCTGTAAATGAAGATGATATGAGAAATCACTTGTTGATCAACTTTCAGTTTTAAAGGGATAAAGGCAAAGCACCAGAGTATAGATGTTACAAAAAACAAAACTAAAATAGTATAATATCACTGATCCGTCCCAGTCCCTCCCCTTCAGCTATTCTATGTTCTTTAAACCACCTTCTCTCCCCCTCCCTATCAAATTTTGGTTGAATTGCATACTTAATTACTGATAGGCATACGGTATACCTTCTGAATCTGACGAATAAGAAAATAATAATTAGAAATAAACCAATAACTGCATTCAATAAATGAACCAACCACAGGCAGGACTCAAATTTTTAACATGTTTAATGCATAGCAAAGTAAAAGGAGGCATATTTTGCCTCCAGTTTCAGCTTCAGCGAAGTGTGGGACTTGATTGTTGTGTGGAAAAAAGGGAGAAAATTTTATATGCTCAAACATTCAATGTTTGATCTAGTTGTCAATCAACTTACCTATAAGCCATAACTAGATGTGAACAGCTACTTTTGATCAACATGCCGTTCTATATTTGAGAACTGACTCATTTCCTTCTTTATTGCTTCAAGGTTTATCTATACACACTCATACAATTTCTTTTTGGAGTTTAGTTAAATAGTGCTTTGATTAATAAGTGTTGGGATGATAAAGTTTTACAAGTATTGTTTTCATGTATTTCCCTGTAAGTTGTTAGTAAAGCAGAAACAGTTACGCAGATTCTATACTTACTAAATTTATAAGCTTTATCTCAGTCAGCAATTACATTTAGGTCTTTCCTTCACCATAGTTGATCATTCTGAATAATCTAAGATGCTAATTATAATCCTCTAACATTACTTACTTTTTATTATCTTTTTAACCCTTTAACTCCCATGAGTGACCAAGACAGAATTTCTCCTTACAATATCAAGCAGACAAAGTGATGAGTATAAAGAAAATATTAATTTGGGAATT